CCCACACCCATTTCGGCACAACCCTCACACGATTCGTGGCTCCATAGGGAGCTCCACCGAAGGCCCCAGTGCCCGCGGCCGCATGCGTCCCCCACACCCATTTCGGCACACCCCTCACACGTTTCGTGGCTCCATCGGGAGCTCCACCGAAGGCCCCAGTGCCCGCGGCCGCATGCGTCCCCCACACCCATTTCGGCACACCCCTCGCACGTTTCGTGGCTCCATAGGGAGCTCCACCGAAGGCCCCAGTGCCCGCGGCCGCATGCGTCACCCACACCCATTTCGGCACACCCCTCACACGTTTCGTGGCTCCATAGGGAGCTCCACCGAAGGCCCCAGTGCCCGCGCCCGCATGCGTCAGCCACACCCATTTCGGCACACAACTCACACGCTTCGTGGCTCCATAGGGAGCTCCACCAGGCACCCATGCCCCGCGCCCGCATGCGTCACCCCCAACCCGTTTCAGCACTACTCTCCCGCACACGTTTTCGTGGCTCCATAGGGAGCTCCACCGAAGCCTTCCAGTGCCCGCGCCCGCATGCGTCACCCACACCCATTTCGGCACACCCCTCACACGTTTCGTGGCTCCATAGGGAGCTCCGCCGAAGGCCCCAGTGCCGCGCCCGCATGCGTCACCCACACCCATTTCGGCACACCCCTCACACGTTTCGTGGCTCCATAGGGAGCTCCACCGAAGGCCCCAGTGCCCGCGGCCGCATGCGTCACCCACAACCCATTTCGGCACACCCCTCACACGCTTCGAGGCTCCATAGGGAGCTCCACCGAAGGCCCCAATGCCCGCGGCCGCATGCGTCACCCACACCCATTTCGGCACACACCCCACACGTTTCGTGTCCCCATGGGAGCTCCGCCGAGGCCCCGTGCCCGCCCCCTGCAGTGCGTCAGCACCCCCATTTCGGCACGCCCCTCGACGCGTTTCCGTGGCCCCCATAGGGAGCAGCTCCGCCGAAGGTCCCGCAGTGGGTGTGGCCCGCCATGCGTCCTCCCGCACCCCCAATTTCGCACACCCCTCACACGTCTTCGTGGCCCCATAGGGAGCTCCGCCGAAGGCCCCAGTGCCCGCGCCCGCATGCTTCAGCCACACCCATTTCGGCACGCCCTCACGCGTTCCGTGGCCCCATAGGGAGCTCCGCCGAAGGTCCCAGTGGGTGTGCCCGCATGCGTCCCGCACACCCATTTCGGCACACCCTTCACACGTTTCTTGGCCCCATAGAGAGCTCCACCGAAGGCCCCAGTGGGTGTGCCCGCATGCGTCCCGCATACCAATTTCGGCACACCCCTCGAACGTTTCGTGGCCCCGTAGGGGGCTCCACCGAGAAAATATTCACAATTGCAGTATTCACAATTGCATATGGTTGGGTCCCTTCGCCAGGATAATTTTTGTTTGATAATTTGTTGAGGATGTGTCGAGCGAAACGCTGGCTTTGTAAACTTTGAGGATGTCTCGGGCGGGGCCTCGTGGGTGGCCAGAATTCAGAGGATGTCTCAGGCGAAATGCTTGTTTTCACGTCCCGCTCGCAGGAATTCCGAGGATGTCTCGCGCGTGCCGCGTCCCGCGCGTAGGAATTTTGAGGATGCCTTGAACAATTCTTTCGTTTTGCTGGGATTTCCTGGGATTTTGAAAGGATGTCTCGAGCGAGCGTTTTTTTTTTTTTTTTTTTTTTTTTTTTTTTTTTTTTTTTTTTTTTTTTTTTTTTTTTTTTTTCCGTTTATATATATATATATATAATTTGTTGAGGATGTCTCGAGCGAAACGCTGGTTTTGCAAACATTGGGGGATGTCTCGAGCGGGGGCCTCGTGGGGGGCCAGAATTCAGAGGATGTCTCAGGCGAAATGCTTGTTTTCACGTCCCGCTCGCAGGGGTTCCGAGGATGTCTCGCGCGTGCCGCGTCCCGCGCGTAGGAATTCTGATGATTTTGACAGGATGTCTCGAGCGAAACGCTTGTCCCCAGCACGTTCCGTAGCGCGTCCCCTTGGCACGTCCCGCGGTGCGTTCCCATGGCACGTCCCTTGGCACGTCGCTTGGCGCGTCCCTTGAGACGTTCCGCGTCGCGTCCTCCTGGCATGGTCCCCTTGTCCATTAGCTCTGGGGCAGCTACTATGTGTTCAGGCAGCTCGAGCTTAAGATCCAGATCAGTTCGGTCAGGACTCGGATGCAAAGGAGGACTCGATCCACAACGCTATGGAGCACAATCGCGGCATGGCACATCGCAATTCAGCACGGCGCAGCACAGCACAGATTTCGGCACGGTACATCAAGATCGATACACTCAGCATTGCAATTTGGCACGTTCCTTGGCACGTTCCGTGGGGCGTCCCTTGGCGAGTCCCCCTGGCACGTCGCGTGGCGCGTCCCCTGGCACATCCCGTGGCACATCCATTGGCACGTTCCGTAGCGCGTCCCCTTGGCACGTCCCGCGGTGCGACCCCGTGGCACGTCCCCTGGCACGTCGCCTGGCGCATCCCTTGGGACGTTTCGCGGGGCGTCCTCCTGGCATGTCCCGTTGTGCATTAGCTCTGGGGCAGCTACTACGTGTTCAGGCAGCTCGAGCTCAAGATCCAGATCAGTTCGGTCAGGACTCGGATGCAAAGGAGGACTCGATCCACGAGGCTATAGAGCACAACCGCGCCATGGCACATCGCAATTCAGCACGGCGCAGCACAGCACAGCCCTCGGCAGGGTACATAAAGATCGATACCTTCAGCATTGCATTTGCCCGTCACCCAATCAGGTGTCTTTGAAAACGCTGCCATGTGTTACAGTTCTATATTCCTTTCCGGGTTCGTGGATCGATCATGTTGTTCGAGCGATCTTGGCCTTGGGAGCGCGTGCGCATTTTTTCCCCACATCCAAAATGGGGTTCTTGTTTTCTCTGCACACCCCGCGCAAGAACACTCACCCCACCCCCTCTCCTCTTCTGCCTTCGCACACTCACTCACTCACTCATCATCATCACCACTCACTCACACTCACACTCACTCACACTCTCTCATCATCAACATCAGCATCATCACTCGCGCTCTCTCACACGCTCAGTCACTCACATACTCATCATCATCATCATCATCATCATCATCATCATCATCATCATCATCATCATCATCATCATCATCATCATCATCATCATCATCATCATCATCATTGTAACAACTTTAGTGTGGTGTGTGCTGGGGAAGGGGCTGAGGGGCCGCACGACCGCAACCTTTGTGCTCAAGCTTTTGAGGGGCATGCAGTGTGCCGCCACGCGCTTTCTCTCGGAGTTCGCGCGAGGGGCATCGCAGGCCCTGGTGGTGTGGTCGGCGACCTCTGCTGCTCCGCCCGCTTGCCCACCGTGCTCGTGCGAGTGCTCCCCGCGATGCAGCATCGCGTGTCCCGACGTCAGCGGGGCCAGCATCGTGCACCTGGTCAGCGCTTGGTGCAGCCACGCGGTGGCCTTCTTGCTGGGTATCCTGCTGGGCGTGTTCGTGGTGCCCGCGTTCTTGAGCTGCAAGTGGCTGGTGGGAAGCATCTGGAGGCGCTCGAGGAGTTCGACCAGCGTCAGCACCGCGTCAGTGGAGGCTACTTCGGCCGAGGAGATCCGAATGCTAGCTGCGAAGCAAGCACGGGCCGCAATTCAGAATGCCTCAACCAGGTAATGTACACGTGGTTCGCTATCGTGTGGGAGGCCCGCCAGTTTTCCATGAGAGGATCACGCTGTTCGATGTGCCTCCGTCTCGTGCTGCTATTGCTACTGTGGACGGGGATGTGTATGTAGAATCGGTTGAGGTTGACGGGGACGTCGAAGAGGTTCGGCCGTTGCGAGGCTTGGGCGCACCTGTCTTTGGAGTCGCGGAGGCGAACGTCTATCGCTTCCGAGCCGTGCCATCTGCTCCAGAAGTGTGGGGCTTCCTGCGAGACGCTTCTTTGGTGCTCGGCGCCGCCCTGCCTCCCTCGCCGTTTCTGCTGGCTGGTGGGGCGGGGGTGGGAGCCGCGTGGATCCCTCAGGCGCTGGCGCTGGACAATCCTGCGGCCGCCGCGGCCGCGGTGGTGGCTGCTGCTGGCGGAGGAGGCGCGGCGGTGCCTGCACCAGGCGACGGCGCTGGAGGCGGCGGCGGCGCTGCTGTTCCTGGAGGCGCAGGCGCGCTCGCTGCCGCTCTGGGCGTGGCGATGCCTCCTCCCCTGGGGGGTGGCGGTGCTGGGGCGGGCGGCCCAGGAGGCGGCGCTGCAGCTGCTGGGGCGCTCGCGGCGGTGGCGCCATTGGCGGATGCCGATCCTCGCGTCTTCCCGTTGGCGACGGATCACGCTGGTCGCCGCCAGTTGGACTACTCAGTCGCGCTGCGGGACGCTACTACCACGCCACGGGACGATTGGCCGATCAAGGGGCCAAGGACGACCCAGTGGTGCTTGGAGCACATGCGTCGGAACGCGGGCGGCCCGCTGGCCTGGCACTCGAAGTGGAAGGCGGAGGCGAGGCTTCGCGACTCGGATGCCATCTGCCAGCAGCATGAGATGAACTGCAGGCTGCTGGAGATGGCCACCTGCTACGACCAGCTCAGCGCGTCAGAGTTGGCGGCCTTTGAGCTGGTCAGTCGGCAGACTCAGCTCATCGAGGAGCGCCACTACGAGGAGACGATCGCCGCGCAGGTGGCGGCGGAGGAGAAGAAGGACAAGAAGAAGGGCCTCGGGGCGAGCGAGAGTCTACTCGCTTCGGAGGCCGAGCACTACTTGGGCGTGTCGGCGAGCAAGGGCAACCTCTGCATCTCGCCAGCGCTCACGGAGTTCATTGCAGAGCAGCTGAAGGCGGAGGCAGCTGTTGCCAAGGAGAGGCGCAAAGCCCGCGAGGGGCGGGCGGCGCGCGCATAGGCCCTCGGAAGCTTCTCCCAGGCGGGTACAGGCACCTCGGTGCCGCCTGGGCGACCCCTGCATTTTCGTGGCGGCCAGCGCCGCCGCCGTGTTTGATTGAGGTCTGGGGGCCTCGGCTCGCCAGCCCCCTCGCAGCTCCGCGATGAAGCCTGCAGGGCGTCAGCGTGACGTGTTCCCTCTGCCGCCGCTCGCGCTGGATGAGCGCGCTGCTTCCTGTCGCAGCCGGCGGGGCCAGCAGCTGGCGCAGCGTGGGGCCGCGTGGAGGCGTTGGGCTAACGACGGCATCGCGGCGCTCAACCAGCTGAGTGGCCACGGTGCAGGTGTGGCGGCGCCGCCAGGGCTGACGTCATCAGCTGCCCAGGCGAGCGCGCTGGACCGCATCGGCCAGGCCTTTCGCGATTTTCCTGCGCCTCCTGACTATCATGAGGACCGAGTTTCAGGCGAAGCAGCCCTTGCAGAGCTGCTCGCTTCGGCGCCTGGGTATTCCGCGGAGTCTCAGCGCGTCGAGCCCTACAGCAAGGACCTGATGTCATGGCCCGACATGTCTACCGCGCCTGTGGAGGTCACAGAGTTGGTGGATCAGGCCGATCGTGAATGCTTGTTGGGATGGAGACGGACCATGCTCAAAGGTGAGATGTCGGCTTCTGATTCCCGAGATGCGCCAGCTCCGCGGCGCCCGTACGTGGACTTGATTTTGGCCAACAGCCCTCGCGCCTACGCTGGCTTTGTTGGGAAGTTGCTTCAGGGTGGTATGATTAGCTTTCGCGTGGCGCGTGCTGCTGATCCTTATAGTTTGGGATTTTTCTTTGTTGAGAAGGTGGGTAAGGGCACGTTGGGACTCGTGTTCGACACGAGAGTGGCGAACGAGGATTTCGAGCCCCCGCCCAAGACGACGCTTCCGACGGCTGCGGCGTGGTCCGCCTTGGAGTCGCAGCGTCCCGTCGTTCTAGCGCAGGGTGACATCCAATGCGCATTCTATCACATGCTTGTGCCAAAGGGGATGGAGGAATGCTTCGCGCTGCCCACTATTTCAAATCAGTTGTTGGGGATTACTCACGTCGACGGATTGCCAGTGGCTAGCGGCTGCTATCTTCAGCCCATGGTGCGCGCGTTGCCGATGGGATGGAGTTGGTCGCTGCTGTTTTGTCAGAGCATCATGCGCAGGGCTCTAGTGGAGAACGGGTTCAGTGACGGATCATTGATCGAGGACGGCCGCCCCAGTCCTGTGCTGCACTCGCCTGTGAGTTTAGCTGCTGCTGGATACGTTGATATTTTTGCAGTCGTAGGTTGTGATGCAAGCATTGTAACGGCAAAGAGAGATCAGATTACGCGGACGCTTGAATCGTGGGGGTTACCCATTCACTCCATCGATGCGGCTTCGCCGAAGACTGTCTTCACTGGTCTCGAGATCGACGGTGACAAGCGCACTGTGCGGGTGAAGCCCTCCAACGTCTTGCGCCTGCGGCAGGCGATTTTGGCTGTCCTGCGGCGAGGAGCGGCCTCGCCCCGACTGCTGGAAGTCTTGCTCGGGCACATCACGTGGGCGATGATTTGTAAAAGAGAGACCTTGTCTATCCTGCATTCCGTCTACGCTTTCAAGTCCCTCAAGGACCCCAACGTCAGGCCTTTGTGGAACTCGGTAAGGTTTGAGCTCTGGTGCGTTGCTAGTACGCTGCCTCTGTGGTCCTCGCATTTGGGTATTCCTTGGGGTTCACGGGTCTCCGCCTCGGACGCGTCTCCTATTGGTGTCGGCGTCTGTACTCGTGATCTGGACTGGCCCCAGGTGGCCGAGATGGGGAGGGTTACGGAGAGGTGGAGGTACAGGTGCACGGCAGCAGTTACAGCAAGGGCTAACGCATTGGGGCTGGATGAGCTCCACCTGGAGGAGGGCATCTTGGACTCCGTCGCCGCGGACTACGTCGAATCGTTCAACCCCGAGGGCTCCGTCAAGGGCTTTCTGGAGGTCCCCAAGGAGATCATGGAGGCCTCAGCTTGGGCCACGGTCATCTCGAGGAGGCACTGGGATCCCATCAGGAACATCTTGGAGCTCGAGGGGGAGGCGTTGCACGACGCCGTTCGCCACGCGTCCCGTAACGTCAGCTTGCACCATCGTCGTCATCTCTTCCTCGTCGACAATTTGCCATTGGCTTTAGCCGCTGGGAAGGGGCGGGGGCGCAAGCCTGTCCTTCGGCGACCTTTGCGGAAAGTTGCTGCCCTTGCTCTTGCAGTCAATTTCCGATGCTATTTGCGGTGGCTGCCCTCTGAGTTGAATGTAGCGGACGGCCCGTCTCGGCATGGCTTCTTCCACGGCAAAGGCTTCGAGGAGGCGGCCGCGGCCGCGCCAGGGACAGCCAGTGGCAGTTCAGCGCTCCATCACGCTGAGGGTCGCTCGAAAGCAGCAGCATCCACGGCCGATGCAGCTGGCGGAGGGCGCCATCAGCTTCCTGGAGATGTCTGCCGTCACGGACTCGACCAGGGAGCGCTACAGGGGTCGCGCCGTGAGGTTCCTCGAGTGGGTGACTTGGCACGGCCTGGACTTTCACTCGGCCCCGCAGCTGGACGTGGCGCTGGTGGCGTTCATGACCGACCTGGCATTGGGCGGGTTCGACTCCGCCACGGGGAGGATGTCAGTAGCCGCTCTGGGGCACTTCTTGCCCCAGTTGCTCGGCGGCAGGCGTCCTCTCCCTCGAGCGGCTCGAGCCCTCGACGGCTGGCGGCGACTGGTCCCCCCGCAGATGCGGCTCCCACTGCCGCGAGCTGCGGCCATGGCAGTTGCTGGTTGGATGATCTCTCGCAACTTGCCCAGCATGGCGGTGTTCGTGGCGCTGGTGTTTCATGCGTACCTGCGGCCCTCGGAGGCTTACCGTCTGAGAGTGAGCTCGTTGGTGCCGCCAATAGCTGGGACGGGGTTCAGCTCGTGGGGGATCATCGTCAACGACGCGAAAGCAGGCCGGCCTGGCAAGACGGGCGAGACCGACGAGTCGGTGCTGGTGGATGCGCCAGAGCTCTGGCCCGTGCTGCTCGCGCTGAAGGCCAACAGGGAGCCCAGCGCCAGCCTGTGGAACTTCAGACCCGCCGACGTCCGCCTGATGTTCGCCCAGGGCTTGAGGGGGCTCGGGCTGCAGAAGGAGTCCCCGTCCTTGTACACCCTCCGCCATGGGGGGGCCTCGCGCGACTTGCTCTCGGGGTCCCGATCGTTGGCGGAAGTGAAAGAGAGGGGCAGATGGGTGACGGACAAGAGTTTGAGACGGTACGGCAAGCGCACTCGGATGCAACAGAGAATAGGAGACCTGCCCGTCGAAGTCAGTCGCTTTGGAGATCAGGTGCTCGAGAGATTGGCGGAGCTCATCGTGTGCAGTTTTGTGAAGGGCCATTTCCCGCTGGCTGTTCCTCTTCAGCCCATGCCTGCCGTCCCGCCAGTCGCAAAGCGGGCGCCAGTTCTGACCGTGCGCTAGCTTCTCGTTTGAACGGGGCGTTTCGGCGTGCTCACGCGTGGGCTTCTCGCCGCAGGCGGCTCGTTTTGCCTGTGCTGGGGCCTCATGGGGCTCCCATATGCAAGGCGTTGCGCAGTCGCGGTTTGGGTTGCCCCTCGTTCGGAGCAGGTCGGAACGCGAGTCTAGGTTTGACTGAGCGAGTGGTGGTCAATCGAATCCTGGGCTGGATTCGGTCGTCCGCTGTCTGCGCTTTGTGGATTTCCTTGTCTCGTAGTACCTGGATGCAGCCAGGCATCCCGCCTCGCCGTTCCGTGGCGGGCCCTTGGGGTCGCAAGTACGGCGCGTCCAATTCAGTGGTGCTCCCTGCCTTTCTGTGTGACAATGTCGAGATGCAGGCTGCCATTCAGATCTTGCGTGCTTGCGTGAAGCATCATGTGCCTGTGTGTTTCGAGCATCCTCGTAGCAGTTTGTTCTGGCATGTTCCTCAGCTCGTTGAGCTAATGAACCACTCTACGTGTCTCAACGTTCAGGTGGACCTGTGTCAATTTGGTGCCGCAGCTCGCGCTCCCACACGTGTGTGTTGTTGGCACTGCCCCAGCTTGTCTCGCCTTGCTCGCGTGTGTGATCACAGTAAAGAGTGCTGCTCGTTTTCGGGTCGACCTCACATGCGTTTTGACGGCCGTACGGCCAAAGGCGTAGCGTGCAGGCACAAGGCTGCCCGCTTTCCCGCTCGAGCCGCCGAGCTTGTGGCAGATTCAATCGTTTCGTCCATCGAGGAATTGTCGCAGGCCCGATCTTATTTCTTGGGCGGCCTGCGGCCATGAGTTTTGTGTTACACAATGTACGTCTGTGCTGCCCGCAAGTGTCCTGGCCACTCTGGGAGTCGAGGCCGTCGTTACCTGCCATCGCCACCGTCAGCTTCTCTAAAAAGAATGTTATGGCCTCGGGGACCCGACCTGGCATTGTAACAACTTTAGTGTGGTGTGTGCTGGGGAAGGGGCTGAGGGGCCGCACGACCGCAACCGTTGTGCTCAAGCTCCCGAACCCACCCGCCCTCGCTTGAGGGTTTTTGAATCAATTTAAGTCTGCGTCTGTGCTGCCCGCGAGTGTCCTGGCCACTCTGGGAGTCGAGGCCGTTGTTACCTGCCATCGCCACCGTCAGCTTCTCTAAAAAGAATGTTATGGCCTCGGGGACCCGACCTGGCATCATCATCATCATCATCATCATCGTCACTCGCACTCTGTCACACGCTCACTCATTCACATACTCACCTGGAGGAAGTCTCAGGCGGGAGCTTCGTCTGTGAGTGAATTGTGAGGAAGTCTCAGGCGGGAGCCCCCTTCCCTATGGGGCCCGCAGATCATGTTGGTAATCCGAGCGGGTCATCCAAACCCTGTAACTGTCGTCATTTTTGGGCTCCTCAAGCTTGAGTGCGGAGGAAGTCTCAGGCGGGAGCCTCGTCTGTGAGTGAATTGCGAGGAAGTCACAGGCGGGAACCCCTCCCTATGGGGCCCGCGCTTCATGTTGGTAATCCGAGCGGGTCATCCAAACCCTGTAACTGTCGTCACTTTTGGGCTCTTCAGGCCTGAATTTTGAGGAAGTCTCAGGCGGGAGCCTCGTCTGTGAGTGAATTGTGAGGAAGTCTCAGGCGGGAGCCCCCTCCCAATGGGGCCCGCAGAACATGTTGGTCATCCGAGCGGGTCATCCAAACCCTGTAACTGTCGTCACTTTTGGGCTCTCGCGTTGCCAGAACGCCATTCCCGGGCCACATTGTGCATGCCCGGAGCCAACTGTAGGCCACTTCGTGTTCTTCGTGTTCCCAGAACGCCATTCCCGGGCCACATTTTGAAACCCCGGAGCCAACTGTAGGCCACTTTGTGTTTTTCCTGTTCCCAGAACACCACTCCTGGGCCACATTCTGGATGTCCGGAGCCAACTGTAGGCCACTTTGTGTTCGTCGTGTTCCCAGAGCGTCATTCCCAGGCCACATTTGTGAATTTCGAATCCGAGGAGGGTCCTCGGAATTCGTATGCCTGTCGTCACTTTTGGGTCCCCGCGGCCTGAATATGGCTGTCATGGGCCTGCTTGCTCCAAAGGGCGACTGAGGAGCTGACGACGACGACGACGAGACAGCGGCCGGGCGCAGGGGTAACCTCTTGTGTCCGGGCCGGGGGTGGTGACCCATCCTCGGCCGAATCGGGGGCAGGGGTAACCTTTTGTCTCCGGGTCGCCGGTGGCGACCCATCGGCGGCCGAATCGGGCGCAGGGGTAGCCCCTTGCGTCCGGGCTGGGGGTGGTAACCCATCCTCGGCCGAACCGGCCCATCGTCGGCGTCACCATCGACTGCGCGAGGGACGAGGACGCTGGCCGCACGGGCATGTCTGACGAGCAGTGGTGGCTGCACCTCTACGTCAGGCTCTCCCGCGCCACGTGCATGCGGAACATGCTTATCCTGCGGCCGCCGCCGCGGGAGTTCCTGGAGCGAGGGCCGCCAGCGTCCTTGCGGAAGGCGCTCCTGGAGTTCGACAAGAGAGCGGTTTTGTCCAGGGCGGAGGCGAAGCAGCTCGCGGCAGAGCTGGGCTTCGTGCTGCCCGCCTGAGCGCGGCTGCGCCCCGCTCGAAGCCCGCGGGGTTGTCCCAACGGCTTGGTCTTGCGCGCAAGCGGCTCGCGGGGTTGTCCCGACAGCCTGGCCCGCGGGGTTGTCCCAACGGCTGCGCGACGTGGCCATTAGAGAACGCGCCTGTGCTGGCCGAGGCGGCGACGGCGCCGAGGAAAACCGACATGCGCGCTCGTGCAATGGAAAGGCGAGGCGGTGGCGGGGCGCGAAAAAAACAGGAGGGCGAGGTCGGGGGCAACGTAGGGAGCGGGGGGAGGGCCCGCGCCAGGGCGAGAAGAAATATACGCAGAAGAGACAGTCAGGACGCCTCACCAACCACGAGGACGACGGTGAGCGCTTTTTCCAGATTCGCCCAGAGGATTCTCATGTGGGGTCCTTCCGTCGGAGTAATTGTTGTTTTCCCGGAAAGGGCTTCAGGCCCAGGGTTCTCTTTTAGTTTGTTTCCCCCCGGTTTTGACGGGAAGAGGGCCGGCGGATTTCATTCGCGATAAATAGCGAGTGGGAAGAGGGCCGGCGAATCTAACTTTCAGGATGTCCCTAGCGAAACGTTTTCTTTTTCTCTCACAATTTGTTGAGGATGTCTCGAGCGAAGCGCTGGTTTTGTGTTACAGATTGTCCTCTCTTGGGGACCTGAATTCAGAGGACCTCTCAAGTGAAATGCTTGTTTTCACGTGCCCAGGTCTTGAGGATGTCTCGAGCGAGACGCTTGGTTTCACGCCTCCAGGATGCCCAGGCAGAGGTCTAGCGCCAGGATTTGTTGAGGACGTCTCGAGCGAGACGCTTGGTTTCAGTCGTTTTCGTCGCCCAGGCGGATGTGTAGCATGAGGATGTGTTGAGGAAGTCTTGATCGAGATGCTTGTTTGCACGTGTCCAGGTTGCCCAGGCGGATGCCTAGCATGAGGATGTGTTGAGAATGTCTCGAGAGGTACTCTTGTTTTCACGTGTCCAGGTCGCCCAGGCGGATGTCTATGTGTTGAGGATGTCTCGAGCGAGACGTTTGCTTTCACGTGTGCAGGTCGCCCAGGCGGATGTTTAGAATGAGGAGGTGTTGAAAACGTCTCGAGCGAAACGCTCGTTTTTACGTGCCCAGGTCACCGAGGCGGACGTCTCACATTAAGATGTGTTGAGGATGTCTCGAGCGAACCACTTTGTTTTCACGTGTCCAGTTCGCCCAGGCGGATGTCTAGCATGAGAATGCGTTGAGGATGTGTTGAGCGAGTCGCTTGTTTTCACGTGTCCAGGTCGCTCAGGCGGATGTTTAGCATGAGGATGTTGACAGGATGTCTCGAGCGAAACGCTTGTCCCCAGCACTTTCCGTAGCGCGTCCCCTTGGCACGTCCCGCGGTGCGTGCCCATGGCACGTCCCCTGGCACGTCGCCTGGCGCGTCCCTTGGGACGTTCCGCGGCGCGTCCTCCTGGCATGTCCCCCTGTCAATTAGCTCTGGGACAGCTACTGTGTGTTCAGGCAGCTCGAGCTTAAGATCCAGATCAGTTCGGTCAGGACTCGGATGCAAAGGAGGACTCGATCCACAACGGTATAGAGCACAACCGCGGCATGGCAAATCGCCATTCAGCACGGTACATCAAGACCGACACTTTTTTACCAGCTCGAGTGGGCACCCCGTGGCTTAGGAGAGGAGAGGAAAGCAGCAGGGGGGGGAAGAACAAGACGAGAAGCAGCAGCAGCAGCAGCAGCAGCAGCAGCAGCAGCAGCAGCAGCAGCAGCAGCAAGCAGCGCAGACAGGCTCGGCCGCGGCCGCCACCTGGCACCCCGGCTTTGCGGGGTACCGCTCTCAGCGCCGGGCGTCCGCAGGCCCACGAGCTCCCCGAGCTCGCCCCTGCTCAGCCGGCTGGACACAGGCAGTGCCAGCCGCGGGACCGGCGGGCCTGGCCGGCCGCGCGGGGCTCAGGGCTCCCTGGCCCGCCCCAGGCGCCGACCCAGGACGCGCTCGGCTGCCCGCCCGCGCCCCTGCGCGTCAGGGATGCCGTCGCCCGCCTCCAGGATCCAGGCTCGCGCCTCGCGGAATCCACATCCGCGGAGCTTCACGTGGAGCGCCGGCGCGAGCGCGCGCGCCGCCACCCAGCCCGAGCTGTCCAGGCAAAAGCGCAGCGCCTGCAGGAACTCGTCCCTGCCGATGCCGTCGGCCTCCAGACCGTCGCCCTCCCGCTCGGGCGAGGGGGCCGGAACCGGCGCGTCCGCCGCGCCGGCATGGGCGGCTGCGCGAGGCGATCCGTCCGCCTCCAGACCGTCGCCCAGGCCTGCCGCAGCAGGGAGGGCCAGGAGCGGCTTCACCGCCGCGCGGGTCCTGTCGGCCGCCCGCTCGCCGCGGCGCCCTGCCCGCCTAGCGGCCCGGGGCGGCGTCGCCACCGCGTGGCCGCCCTCGGAGCCCTCACCGCCAGCTGCGTCCTCGAGCAGGTCGGCCCAGGCCGACCGCGAGTCAGGGGTGTGCACCGCCCAATCGGCTCCGTACTCCGACTCGATTGGGTGCTCTCCCCTGTCCAGCTCCACTGCCGCGACCCCTCTAAGCTCCCGGCCTGGGCTCAGTGGCCCCAGCGCAGGAGCACCTGGTTGTCCGGCAGGTCCGTCGCCGTGAAGCGAGCCCAGCCAGCCTGACGGAGGGCGGCTGCCACCAGGTACGCGCTGGGCGCGCCTGTCGCGCTCTGCTCCCGTTGCCCCCCGGGGGCCGGTGGAGGCGCCAGCGGCGCCGCCGCGGGGCCGCCCAGCCCCGCCGCCCGTTGCCCCGGGGGGGCCGGAGCCAGCTGCGTCGCCGGCGCCGCTGGCAGGGCGCTCTCCCGTAGCCCCTCCGCGGCGGGAGCCGGTGGAGGCTTCGCCGGCGCCGCGGAGCCGCTCGGCGCCGGCGCCATCCGTTGCCCCCCTCCAAGGGGGCCGGAGCCTGCTGCGCCGCCGGCGCCGCCAACAGGCGGGCCTCCGTTCCCGTCGCTCCTCCGCTGGAGCCGGTGGAGGCGCCACGGGCGGCACGGCGAGGGCGCCGCCGGCGCCCCTGGCGTCCCCCGCAGCTGCCGCCGCTGGCGGAGTCGCTGCCGGAGCCGCTGCCCCTGCAGCTGCCGGGAGTGGCGCGTCCGCGTCGACGTCCGAGGAGGAGCACTCGTAGGAGCTGCTGCTCAGCTTCGGCTCCGCCGCCGGCTGCTCCGGCGGTGCCTCCCGCTCCGCGGCCGGCGCGCGCGCCCGGAGCGCCCGCTCGCAGGGGCGCCCGGCCTCCGGCGGGCCAGGAGTGGGGCCGGTCCGCCTGTCCGCCGGCTGCGCGTGGTGGGGGCGGTGCCGCGCGCCGCGGCGCGGGCTGCGGCAGCGGCGACTGCGGCTGCGCGCGCGGCTCCGGCCCCGCCCGCTTGTCCCCTGGCGGCGCCTCCGCCGGCGCGGGGGCCTCGGCTCCGGCGAGCGGCCGCGCCCGCGCGGGTGCTGCGGCGGCGGGCTCCGCGAGCGCCGCCCAAGCTCCGGGGGAGCCTCCGGGCGCGCCTCGCCCCGCAGGCTCCTGCCGCGGCGCCGGCCGGCAGGTGCGCCGCGGTCACTCCCAGGGGCCGTCCTGCTCGTCCTGCTCGGGGACCTCCAGGTGCCGTCCTGCTGGCGCTGGCGCCTCGGCGGCGTCGCCAGCACCCTCGCAGGAGACAGCTGCGCCGCCCTGCGCGGTGCCGCCTCCCTGCGCAGGCGGAGCGCTGGAGGGGGCCGCCTGCGCGGCGCCGCCGGGCCGCCCGGCCGCGCCTGCGCCTTCGCCTTCCCCTTCGGCCGCGCCCGCCCTGCCGCCGCCTGCCACGGCGCCCACGGCATCGACCCACGCGCCAGGCGCGGGGGCGACTGGTGCCGGCGCGGCCAGCAGCTGCCACCCGCAGCCCGCTGGGAGGGGGGGGAGGCACACCCAGCACCCCCCGGGCAGCCACTGCATGCGCCGGCGCGCCCCGGCGCGCCGCGCCCCGCAGCCCCTCGGCTCCCCCCGAGCCGATGGCCACGGCAAGCTCCCAACCCCCCGAGAGGGGTTGGGAACTTGAGAGCCAAAATGGCTACGGACATCAAGACCGACACACTCAGCATTGCAACCTGGCACGTTCCGTGGGGCGTCTCTTGGCGAGTCCCCCTGGCACGTCGCGTGGCGCGTCCCCAGGCACATCCCGTGGCACATCCATTGGCACGTTCCGTAGCGCGTCCCCTTGGCACGTCCTGCGGTGCGACCCCATGGCACGTCCCCTGGCACGTCGCCTGGCGCGTCCCTTGGGACGTTCCGCGGCGCGTCCTCCTGGCATGTCCTCCTGTCAATCAGCTCTGGGGCAGCTACTGTGTGTTCAGGCAGCTCGAGCTTAAGATCCAGATCAGTTCGGTCAGGACTCGGATGCAAAGGAGGACTCGATCCACGACGCTATAGAGCACAATCGCGGCATGGCACATCGCAATTCAGAACGGTGCAGCACAGCACAGCATTCGGCAGGGTACATCAAGATCGATACACTCAGCATTGCATTTGCCCGTCACCCAGTCAGGTGTCATTGAAAACGTTGCCATGCGTCACATTTCTATATTCCTTTCCGGGTTCGTGGGTCGATCATGTTTTGTTTGGAAATGGGATCGTGGCTTTGGGAGAGGGGCGGTGCATGCAACCGCCTGCCAGAAGAAACGGGTACCCTACCATACAGCCCTTGGCATTCTACCAGACCTCAACGTACCAGGGGGCACGGTGGCGGGTTTTGCTCCGCTTCGCGCCCCAGCCCCTCATTGATGGATGCAAGTCACTAGTGCCGTAGATAGACGAGCTCGGCAGTTCCAGCTGCGGTCTTTCATGGCGGCGATGCTTCCACCAATTTGGATCTCGAGTCCCCTCGTCCTGGGCCCCTTACTGCTAGAGGCATCCGAGACTCCTCCGCTGACTCAGCGTCTTTACCAGGAACAGAATTGAGTGTAGTGGGAATTTCCAGTCACTCCCTCTCGCCCTCTACCAATCCTTCCCGCTTGATTTCCCTTTGCTCTGCCGCTTTGACGTGCAAGGCGTCTTCTTCTTCTTCTTCTCTCTCTCTCTCTATTTGCCCCTTCCTTCGTTCTCCTTTCCTATTCCTGCATTTGCTTCCTCTCCCTTCCCGTCCCATCCCTCTCTCCTTCTTCGCTCTCACTATCGCTTTCCTTTCCGCTTCTCCCTCTCCCTCCCCGTGTTCTTCCGATGACCTTCGCTCACTCCTCGCCTTGATTCTTCCTCTTGCCGCTCCACTTGCTCCTCCCGCTCGCCTTCCGTGCCCTTCCAGCTCCCCTCCGCTCCCCGCACTTGGCCCGCCTGCCCGCCACCTGTGCAGCTCCGGCCCGCCTCCCCTGCCTCGCCTTTTTCCCTCGCCCCTCCAGGTGGACCGGCAAGAATGCCATCGACTTTGTCGAGCACGTCACCACCGCCGACGTGCGGGGGATGGTGCCCGCCCGCACGCCGGAAGGGTGAGGCCCAGGAGGGGGCGTCGGATGCGACGAGAGGGGCGCATAGCCCAGGGGGGAGCAATACACGTGTGTCCAGGGGCGCCGATGATCCATGTCTTCAGCCAGGGTCCCCGAGGGGTACGTGTCATGCTCTCCCCTGATCTATTCGCCCCTATCGTCGCCTCCGAGGGTGGAGAGCAGCCAGTTCCCAGCGAGCGAGAGGACGCCAGCCGGTAGCGAGCAGTGCACCGGCACGGGGCTTGGCTGCAGGATCGCCGCAGTGCGGGCTCGGGGCGACGGGAAGAGGCTCCCGTCCAATTTCTCTTCTCCCCCTTGCGCGCGCAGATGCGTCCGCGCTTCGCGGTGCCCCGCGCGCCAGGGGGTGACAACGCCTCTGTGCGCCGCCCGAAGCGTCGGTCGAGCTCCACCAAGCCGAGGGCGCTCTGGGGCCCCAGAGGGGGGCCCGACGTCCCAGTGCTCCCCGCCTGCGCCCCTCCGGCCGCCGCCGACGTCCGATGCTCTGTGTTAAGTCGGGCGTGTCCCTCTACAAGAGGAATATTTACAAATAGTCAAACAAATAGTCAGGCGATTGTTTTTTTAGCATTTTTCCCGGAAAGGGCTCGGGCCCAGGGTTCTCTTTTAGTGTGTTTACCCCCGACTCTGACTGCTGCAGGGTCGGCGAAGTTCTTTTGCGATAAATAACGAGGTCGCGTAGGGCCGGCGACATTGTTTTTGAGGATGTCTCGGGCGAAACGCTTGTTTTTCTTCATAATATGTTGATGATGTCTCGAGCGAAACGCTGGTTTTGTGTTACAGATTGTCCTCTCTTGGGGACCTGAATTCAGAGGACCTCTCAAGTGGAATGCTTGTTTTCACGGGCCTAGGTCTTGAGGATGTCTCGAGCGAGACGCTTGGTTTCACGCCTCCAGGTTGCCCAGACAGATGTCTAGCAAGAGGATTTGTTGAGGATGTCTCGAACCAGAGGCTTGGTTGTCCAGGCGGATGTCTAGCATGAGGATGTGCTGAGAACGTCTTGAGCGAAACGCGTGTTTTCACGTGCCCAGGTCGCCCAGGCACAGCACAGCCCTCGGCACGGTACATCAATATCGATACCCTTAGCATTGTGGCCTGGCATGTTGCCTGGCACGTTCCGCGGAGCGTCCCGTGGCGAGTCCCCCTGGCACGTCGCGCGGCGCGTCCCCTGGCACGTCCCGCGGCACGTCCATTGGCACGTTCCGTAGCGCGTCCCCTTGGCACGTCCCGCGGTGCGTGCCCATGGCACGTCCCCTGGCACGTCGCCTGGCGCGTCCCTTGGGACGTTCCGCGGCGCGTCCTCCTGGCATGTCCCCTCTGTCAATTAATTTTGGGGCAGCTACCATCTGCTCAGGCAGCTCGAGCTGAAAATCAAGATTAGTTCGGTCAGGACTCGGATGCCAGGGAGGACTCGATCCACAACGCTATATAGAGCACAATCGCGGCATGGCACATCGCAGTTCAGCACGGCCCAGCACAGCACAGCCGCCGGCACGGTACATCAAGATCGATACTCTCAACATTGCACCTTGCCACGTTCCTTGGCGCGTTCCGTGGCGAGTCCCCCTGGCACGTCGCGCGGTGCGTCCCCTGGCACGTCCCGCGGCACGTCCATTGGCACGTTCCGTAGCGCGTCCCCTTGGCACGTCCCGCGGTGCGTGCCCATGGCACGTCCCCTGGCACGTCGCCTGGCGCGTCCCTTGGGACGTTCCGCGGCGCGTCCTCCTGGCATGTCCCCTCTGTCGATCAGTTTTGGGGCAGCTACCATCTGCTCAGGCAGCTCGAGCTTAAGATCCAGATCAGTTCGGTCAGGACTCGGATGCCAGGGAGGACTCGATCCACAACGCTATATAGAGCACAATCGCGGCATGGCACATCGCAGTTCAGCATGGCGTAGCACAGCACAGCCCTCGGCACAGGACATCAAGATCGATACATTCAGCATTGCATTTGCCCGTCGCCCAATCGGGTGTCTTTGAAACGTTGCCATGCCTTACATTTCTACATTCCGTTCCGGGTTCGTGTGTCGATCATGTTGAGCATTTGTTGGCGAGTTATTTCGTGACTACGTTTTCTTTTTCGTCCAAGAATCCGCATGTAGGGGGACACGCCCGACCTAAGCCTCGTGGCTGGCGCAGGTCAGGGCTCCGCCGTCACGCCAGGAGAGGCGAGCCTCAAGGGCTCCCACGAGGGCGCGAAGGTATTCGCGCTTCGCGCTTCGCGGTCCTTGTTCCTCGTTCCTTCTCCCTCTCCTCCTCGTCCTCCTTTTCCCCCTTTGGGGGGGGGGGGGGGCGGCGCGAGAGCGCGACGTTATTCGCACTTCGCGCTTCGCGGAGCGCGAAGCGCGAAGTTGGGAGCCCTTGAGGAGAGGCGAGCCTCCTGGCTCCTCTCGGGCCCCCCCCAAAAACGACAACCAAACAAATATGGGAATACAGGGGGAATCTTTTTTGTGTGTGGGAATACAGGGGGCATATAGGGGGAATATAGGGGGAATCTATGGGAATATAGGGGGAATATGGGGGGAATCTTTTTTATGTGTGTGTACTTCTTTGTGTGTCCCAGGGCCCCTTCACTAAGCTCCGTGGCGGGCGCAGGTCATCACCACCCACCAAACCGCCCCAACCCCACCCTAAGGCCTCAATCTGCCCTCCGTTTCCAGTGGTGGTGGTGGGGTGGGGGGGTCGGGGAACATCGAGAAAACACACAGATGGAACCCGTACCCCCCCCAACCCGAACTTCGGGCCTTCGGGTGGGGGTTGGGGTGGTCTGGTGGGGTCGTCAGGTCAGGGCTCCGCCGTCACGCCAGGAGAGGCGAGCGCGAGAGCGCGAGCGCGCGAAGTTCTTCGCGCTTCGCGCTCCGCGGTCCTCGTTCCTTCTCCCCCTCCTCGTCCTCGTCCTCCTCCTCGTCCTCGTCCTCCTCCTCGTCCTCCTCCTCCTTCTCCCCCTCCTCCTCGTCCTCCTTCTCCCCCTTTTTGGGTGGGGCGGCGCGAGAGCGCCCCGCCCCCCCCCGAGGGGGGGGGGACAAGGAGGACGAGGAGGAGGGGCGAGCCTCCCGGGCTCCTCTCCGGGGCCCCCGCGGGAGCGGCGTGGGCGGCGGCCCCCCCCCCCTCCCGGCCAGGCCCGCCCTCGGGCGCCCCCTCCTCCTCGTCCTCCTTTTCCCCCTTGGGGGGGACAAGGAGGACACCAGGAAGGGCGAGCCTCCCGGGCTCCTCTCCAGGGCCCCCGCGGGAGCGGCGTGGGCGGCGCCCCCCCCCCCCCCCCCCCGGCCAGGCCCGCCCTCGGGCGCCCGCCCCTCCCCCCCTTGGGCAGCCCCGGGCTCCGGCCGCGGGCTCCTCGCTCCTCCTCCCAGGGAGGGGGAAGGAGCACACAGGCACAGTCCATCGTCGATCCCCCAGGGAAGCATGGGAAACTCTTTGGGAGTGGGGGGGAGGACAACGGCCCAGAAGGCAGGGGAGAATATATGTC